ATGGAACAAAACAGAAAGTTCAAAAATAAGCCCATTTGATTAAACCGAATTCATTTTTTCTCTATTTTATTTACTACTTTTATTTTATGTGTATGAGTGTTATGCCAGCATGTAGGTAAGTGCACCTGTGTCGTGCAGTACCCATGGAGGACAGAAGAGGCTATCGGATCCCCTGGAACTGGCGTTACAGGCCGTCGTGTGGGTGCTGGGATTTGAACTCGGGTCTTCTACAAGAACAGTCAGTGTTCCTAACTGCTGAGCCATCTCTCTAGCCCAAAATCTATATTTTTAGTTTGAGTTATGATTTAAAAAGGAAAGAAAATCATTGGCTTTGCCAATGGAGCGTTGGCTAGAGGTTGGGCTGGGAGCAGCAGCATGGGATGGTTTAAGAGCCCAGAGATTCCCTCATAATGATTTCCCCCATCTCCTCAGGATCCCTTTGCACAAAGGGAAGTCTCTGAGGAACACCCTGAAGGAGCATGGGCTGCTGGAGGCCTTCCTGAGCAGACATCAGTATATGCTCAGTGAGCAGAGCTCCAACACTGGGAAAGTGGCCAGAGAGCCTCTGATCAACTACCTAGATGTGAGTAGCTCTGGGGGTCCGCTCAGCAATGAATTCCCTTTTCTCTGGGGCCCGGCCTTGCCAGAGCTTTCCTTCCTTCAGGAATCCTGGAGCCTATGGGCTGTAGGGGGCACCTTCCTGCTTCTCAGTAGTTCCAGAAGACCCAGCGAAGGCAACCCTCTTGTCTCCAGGCTCCAAAGTCCCCGCTGGAAGGGTCTGAGCTCAGATGACTTTTGTCACATAGCCTGCTTTCCAGTCTCAGGGAAGCCATGTCTTAATGTGTGCTCATAAGAACTGGGGACAGCTGGTGCCCATTCTTCAGCTGCTAGGGCACAGACTCCATTTTTATTCTCTTCCCACCCAGGCAGGAATGCCTTTCCCCCTCTTCCTTTCTGGAGCTTCTCTCTGTCACCTGTCATTCTTGGCAGTAAACAACCAATCCCTTCCCTCTGTGCTCTCATTTCTGTATCTAGGTCACAGTCCACTCCAGCCTCAAGGGGGAACTGGCAGGGGGCAGGCGGGGCAGGAGCTCAGGTGGGGATCTGGGCCCTACCCTCAGCTGATGTCCCCACCTCTGGACCTAGCTCCTTCCTGCCTTGGCAAGGTGGCCCAGTCTCTTTTCCATGAAAGATTTTAGTTATCATCCATGGTCGGCTTCTGAGTAGCTTGGTAGAAGGGCTTGGATGTGAGTACAGGTAGGGGTAGAGATGAAAAGCTCTCCATAATGCAGTGGGCACCTCCTTCCACTTTCTGCTCCTTGATGCCTGTCCCCATCCAGATCTCTGAGGAGAAAATACAGGACCTACAGGAGTCAGTTCCCAGCATCAAGTCCTTCTCTGTCTGGCTCCTTACCCTACTTCTCTGACCCAGAGCTATCTGCCCTCAGAGCGAGTACTTTGGGAAGATCTACATCGGGACACCACCCCAGGAGTTTACTGTGGTGTTTGATACAGGCTCTTCAGAATTTTGGGTACCCTCTGTCTACTGCAGCACTGAAGCCTGCCGTGAGTGACTGACTTCCTTTCCTGCCCACCCCTCACACTCTGGTTCAACCAGTGACTGGGTGAGGTGGGACATAAATGTGGAGGGTAGGAGTGTGTGTCTGGACATCTCCAGCCTCCCACTGTAGTCCATGTCCTGACTCTGCCCTCCCAACTGGCCACCAACTGGGGAGGTTGGAAAATCATAGGTCTCATGTATAAAGCACCAGCTGGAAAGAAAGAAACCTAATTTGTTAATATTTTGATCTCTATTGGGAGCCACGGCAAGCTATTTGCCTGTGGGGGCCTCCATTTTTCTCTGTATAAAATGGGGCTATGACACATCAGTGGGGACTGGGAGACAAGTGAGAGGATCTCTTCCAAGTGATCAATAAAAAATGAGCACGTTATTTATTTATTTATTTATTTATTTATTTTTCCAACAGTCTGGTGGGATCTCTTTTTATCCCCAGACAACAATCTAACCCCTCCCTTCCCTTTCCTTCCCTTCCCTTCTTGCCTTCCCTCTCTCCACTCCCCTCCCCTCGCCTCCCCTTCCCTTCCCTTCTCTCTGCTCCGCTCTCCTCTCCTCCCCTCTCCTGTCTTCCCTTTCCTTCCCCTTCCTCTTCCCCTTCTTTTCCCAGATGAGAAAAAAGAGGTTCAGAGGGGAAAAATGGTTTGGCTAACAATATTCAGATGACAGAAGGAAAATGGGAAACATTTCTTGATGAAACTATGGGACAATGCTACAGTGAGACCAGTCTATTGATTTTTTCCAGAGAGATGGCTGGTGTACAAGTCATGTTCTTACGACATGGTGGGTGAGGGTTTCTACCCTCCCTGGCACTGCTGAGTGGCAGGAAGACACCCAGGATAACACTAATCCTGGGTCTGTGTTGCAGGAAGCCACCACCGCTTTGATTCGTCCAAGTCCTCCACCTTCCAGAACCTGAGCAAGCCCATGTTTGTCCAGTATGGCACTGGCAGCGTGCAGGGCTTCCTGGGCTATGATACTGTCATAGTAAGTAAGCTGGTGTCAGCCCGGAGTCACCCTGCCTTTCTCTACAGCTATTTTCCCACCCAGATAACCTGGTTTCTATGGGCTGTGCCTTTAGTGGGCAACGAGGATCCCTTGGGTCTTATCCACTGAGTGACTCAGTGGGCGAGGATTCTAAGAAGGATTTCCAGTGATAATCGTTTGTGTGGTGTCCCTTTCCTTCCTCTACTCCTTCCTGTGCCTGTCCTCAGAACCCAGTTAAGTAGTTCTCCAGGTCTAGATGTTCATCTCCACACCCTTGGCCATAGTTCTAAGCTTGTGCCATGCACAGTTTACTTTACGTTATGCATACTATATCTGTGATCTGGCTACCTCTAGCACCCTTCCTCTTGACCCATTTCACCTGTCCTTTTCTCTTCCTTTTCCGCTCAGTGTCACTTTATCAATGGGGCCTCTCTTACCATCCTATAAAATAACATACTGCCTATGGCCTTACCCTGGCTATCTTCTGAGGGTTCATTGTCACCTGACATGTTCTATATTACTGCTTTTTTTTTTTTTTGGTCTTTTTGAGACAGGGTCTCCCTGTAGCCCCAGCTGTCCTGGAACTCACTATGTAGACCAGGCTGGCCTTGAACTCACAGAGATCTGCCTGCCTCTGCCTCTGCCTCCCGAGTGCTGGGATTAAAGGCGTGCGCCACCATGCCCGGCTTATATTACTGCTTTTTAAAATGCATTGTTGATTTTGCCTGCTGCATAAAAAGTCCTCTAGAGTAGGCACTGTTTTATCCATTGCCATCTCCCCGGGGTCTCATACCTGGTATATCAAAGACTCAATACCCGTTTGTTTACTCAAAGAAAAAGACAATGAATTGATTAATTTTTTTAGTACATAACCATTGTTCATTTATTCACTTCATAAATGCTTGTTAAGTGTTATTCTAAGGAGGATACAGTATTGAACAAGAGGACGGGGACCTGTCTGCTTTGTGCTCATAGCAAAAGATAGTCATGAAGCCTTGTAGGATCACGGTCTGTACATGAAAGACACTTAAGTCAGATGGATTTGAATAGTTCTGAGTGGAGCATCAAGAAAACAAAACTGGAAAGCCTGGAAGAGAACAGATAGGGATTTGAGGACTAAGATTTGGTGGACATGGTGGCCCATGTAATGCAATTTGGAAACCAGGCCTTAGATGATCTGGGGTCAGCACTGCAGGCAGAGGGAATAGCAAGTGCAAATATCTTAGGACAGGGAGGAGCTGGGGCAGCTGAGGAAGGGGAAGAAGATCAATATGAAGGGCAAAGTGGGTTCACAGGACAAGGGAATGAGAGGAGGTATGGGAGGTAGGAACTGAGTGGAAGATTCCATTCTGCCTCCATTGGGATACACCAGACAGTTGTAGTTGGTATGATAGACTTGACTTCTGGTTTTAAAGCTCACATTGGTTGCCCTGTGTGAAGGATCAATTAATTACATGGAACATCAGAGGCCAGAGACCTGGTACAGCCCACTGTGGTGTCTCAGAACACGTTGATGGACACATCTACCCTCTGAGGAAGTGGGCGAGTCACTCTTCTTTGGCATGGTACCAATAAAGGTTCAATAAACAGATATTTAGTGAATGCTCAATTGATGTTCAGCATTAGGGCTTAGCCTAAGTATTGCCTTGAGGTTCAAGTATCATTATTCCGTTTATCAGATAAGGGGTTGAGGTCTGGAAAGGAACTTTTCCAAGGTCATGGTCAGCATGTGACAGAATGAGGATCCACACAGATACAGGGCCTACTTTGTCTGTACAGGATAGTACCTCTACAGATCTTCCCTGGTTTCTACAAGAGAAGAGAGGGCATCGAAACAGTCCTCATGCCTTGTCCTTCAAGCTTGTCCCCAACACGAAGACCTGTGTTTGTACCCAACACTGTCTCTTCTCTTCTCCTTTCCTCTGCTTCATCACATGACTTCCTCAAAATCAAGCAGAAAATATGGAGAATTTGACTTACCCTCACCTCTTCAGCTCAAATAATCGCAGTCCTGAAGAGGGAATAAGGGCCAGTGAGGATTGAACTTCTGACATTGGCCTGTGACCTGGGACTAGCCACCCCTGTCCCTGGACTTTGCTATCTCTGGCTGCAGAGGCTCCCTAATGGAGGTCATCATAATTTTTTTCCCCCTGCAGATCTCCAATATTGTAGTTCCTCAGCAGACTGTGGGCCTGACTACTAAGGAGCCAGGCGATATCTTCATCCACTCGCCATTCGATGGGATCCTGGGGCTGGCTTACCCTTCTCTTGCCTCCAAGTATTCAGTGCCGATGTTTGACAACATGATGAACAGGCACCTGGTTGCCCAAGACCTGTTCTCTGTTTACATGAGCAGGTAGGAGCTGTGCCCAGCTAGGGTCTGACTTTAATGGCCTGGTAAGGACTGTGGGCTGAGGTGACTCTCTGCCCCTTGGAGACACTGCCAGTCAAGGTAGTTACCAGTATCCAAATGACCCCTCTCTATTTCTAGGCACATCCAACCTCCTGTACAAAGACCCCAGTAGAGTCATTTATACAGTCAGAGTTTACTGGGCTAGAGTTGACTTTCATTCTACCTTAAAAAAAAAAGCAAAGCCTTGCAGGTGGGGAGGGGGAGGGGGTGTAACTCAGTGATAGAGTGCTTGCTTAGCATGTGCTAGGCCCCAGGCTCAATCCCTGGTAACACAAACAAAAAAACAAAAACCCAAAACAAATAAACCAGCAACAACAACAAAAAAAGTCTGTTCCCATCTCTGTAAAAGGGCTTTTAACATGTTCTTCCAAAGTGACAAGATCTCAGAAATCATTTGTCCATGCCATTTAGCATCTCAGGCTTATAGGGCCAACTCCAAAGGGATGCTTTTCCTGGAACTAGTGTCCAAGTGAGTCCTGGAGCTCAGAAAGCCTGCTCCTGACAGTGTTCCTTATTCTACCTTCCTGCTCCTTGTGATGACCTAGCTCAGCTCAGACTGAGGATGGGTGGGGGCAGAAGGAGAAGGAGATGGGACTGGGCAGCTGAAACCAGGAGATCCCAGACATGGAGTAAGTTGGTACATTTCATTCATGCATGCATTCATCTATTCATTTACTCTATACATATTTACTAGGCTTTCTATATGCAGAGGCTGGGCCGGGAGATGGACATACATCAGCAAACAAGACAAGCTGGGAGGTATATTTTAGCAAGGGAAACAGACATATAATTATACACACTGTAATCATATAACTGTAAGAAAGATGTTGCAGAAGAAATTGTGGTGTGTTCACACCGTAATACCCTGGATGTCCACTCTAATGTGTGTGTACCTGTGTACATGTGTGCAGGGCAGGGCAGGGCAGGGCAGGGCAGGATTCTCTGAGGATAAGTGGGAGTTATCCAGGTGAGGGACAGAGGGCTAGCAGTATATATTATGTCCCAGTATCTGGAGTTCAGAAGGGGCTTGAGTTCTAGGAGGCAAAGCAGTGTGGGGAGCAGAGGAGATAGTGTGTAAGTGTGGGTCAGAGGAGTAGGGCACTGTACCTGATTCAGAGCAAAGCCTGGTGTAGACTGGGAGAACTATTGAGGCCTGGTGGGTTGGGGCAGGAGGGAGGCAGTGGAAGGCCTTTGGGTCTCTATCCATCTACCTCAGGATGGTGCTGGGGAATCTTCACCAGTAGGGTATCTGCTGCCACTGAGAGGCCTTTCTTGGTTCCAGGAATGAGCAAGGGAGCATGCTCACACTGGGAACCATCGACCAGTTCTACTTCACAGGCTCGCTGCACTGGGTGCCCTTGACTACGCATGGGTATTGGCAGTTCACCGTTGACAGGTGGGTGACTAGAGCTTTGCATGGGCCCCATCCAGAGGCTGACTCTAGATGTGTGGGCCATACCACAGTGTTGAGAAGGACTCCATTCAATACTCAATAGTTCTGAGACCACTGATTGATTGTGAAAAACAGCTGTGAGGCCAGCATCCTTTCATCCTGTCCTGCACTGGCTACATTGACTGAGTGCTTCCTGCCTGTAAGACACTGTGCTTGCTGGACAGTTATGTGGCTCTCATTGAACCTACAGAGGTGGGTGCTAGTATATAGGTTGCTGATTTTGAGATTGTTTACCCTCCCAGGATCACAGTTGATGGTGAAGTGGTGGCTTGCCAAGGTGGCTGCTCGGCTGTGTTGGACACAGGCACTGCCCTGGTGGTGGGGCCCAGTGGAGACACCCTTCATATCCAGAAAATCATTGGAGCTGTTCAAGGCCAGTATGGCCAGGTAAGGCCAGGCTTTCCTTCAACCTCCAGATACTTCTGAATTGAGTCCCTGTCTACACAGAAGTAATGATAAAGGAGAATGTTGGGTGGCCACACATTTCCAAAAGAGGCCAAAAGAGGGTTCCCTTCTGACTTTGGCCTGTCCTTGCTGTGGGTGCCCCAAGCTTTGCACAGTGGCTGTCATCTGGTTCCTGGTCCTCTGGTTCCTTTGCTGTGCCCTCTTACTCTGCCCACCTCTACCACTAGTTTACCCCTCTCTCTTCTTCTGGGGATCCTTGTGCACTCTTGATAGCTCTAGAAGGGAGACATGGAGGCAAGCCTCTTTTAGTCCCATGCTTGGGTCTGTTGCTTCGGTGGAACTCTTTTGAGGACCATGTTTTGAGACCTGGCCTCATCTGGAGGGCTTCCCTGTGGTCCTCTGAGAAAGTTCACACAGTGGAGGGAAGGGGTTCTGTGCCATCAGCATGGTGCTGTTTCTGGTGGATGATGCCCCTGCTCTTCCCTTAGTTTGACATTAACTGCTGGAGGCTGGACATCATGCCCACAATTGTCTTTGAGATCCATGGCAGGAAGTTCCCATTGCCACCTTTGGCCTACACTCTGAAGGTATGAGTCTCAGGAGAGGATGCTCTGGGTCCACCTAGTGTCCTTTCCCCTGAGACTTTGGCAAGTCAATGAAGATGGATCCTTGAACCTCATTTGTTGCCACTATAGCTTCCTGCTGACAGAAGTGGGGAACAGGAAAGACAGAGCACCAAGGCTTGGGGGAGGGATATAGGTTGTACCCTAATTACCCATGGGGACCTGTATTCACTGTTTTACCTTCCAAGGCCTGGTGGGTTTCCTTAGCTCATTTTAACTTGTAGGAACTGCTGGCCTTAATCTTGACTTGATCCTGAGTACCCCAAACTAATGATCTAATCATCAGGGCAATGGGAGTTGATAGTATGATGGCAGGGGGCTGGAGATGTGGGGGCCAATGCATAGGGTCAGGGCTCAGAGCTCCAGGACTTTACCAGATCATCTCAAATTAAGTCACTTTAATTACTGAATCTGGATTTCTTCACCTGTTGAGTGTAATGAATCTTACTTTTGTATGCTTATCTGGGAAGATGATTTTAAGGATGAAATGAAGCCATAGAGATTAATTGAGAGGTGGGGTAGAAAAACACTCATCGCTGCATCCAACTTTATCTCAATCTTGCCTTTCCCAGAACCAGGGCTTCTGCTCCAGTGGCTTCCAAGGTGGTTCCCATCTGTGGATCCTGGGGGATGTTTTCATCCGGGAGTTCTACAGCGTCTTTGACAGGGACAACAATCGTGTTGGGCTAGCCAAGGCTATCTGATTGAGCCACTTACTTTAGACTATGTTTTCCCCAAACACACACATTCATAGGCACACACATATGCACACATATACACATGCATGTGTACATACACATACATACATGCACACAGATTAAGTTTAGTAGGCAGAAGGCTTTCAATAAATACTGCATTTTTTCAAAACTTGTTTTTCCTTGTTCTTAATGGTGCTGAAGCTCTGTACCAATATGGGGTGGGGCTGTGCCTGCCAAGTGGTGTGTGGGCAGAGCTGTGGCCATATGAGTTGGGGAGGGCTGAGAACACAGTTGGTGGGTAGAGACTTTCACAAAGGGAATGGCTATTTCAAGCTGAGATGGAGAAGACCAGGCATATGTTGCCTATCTGTCTTCCCACTCTAGAGCTTTCTAGAAAAGGGTAGCTGAGGATGAGAGACAAGGGTGTGGGGGTGTAGAACACTCGGCCCATGGAGAGGAACACTTCTGGTTCATGAAGATTGGGGCCTCATAGCTGCTGCAGACATTGATGGGATATGCAAAGTATCTTGGAGAGGTCTAGGGTCTTGAAGTTGCTGTTCACCTTGGGTGGTTGAACCCCAGGGCAACATCCTGTCCGTTTTTTTTTTTTTTTTTTTTTTTTTTTTTTGTCTTTTTGAGACAGGGTCTCCCTGTAGCCCGAGCTGTCCTGGAACTCACTATGTAGACCAGGCTGGCCTTGAACTCACAGAGATCCGCCTGCCTCTGCCTCCCAAGTGCTGGGACTATAGGCGTGTGCCACCACGCCCCATCCTGTCCTTTCTTAGAGGCTCAAACCTTAACTGGAAGTGCTCAGGGCAGACTCATGTTGGCTTGCTTTGAGGTTGGTAGTTGAGGTCAGGTACCTACAGTCAAGTTTCCAGGGAGGACTGTGGTGTCAATATAAAGGGAATGCCTCACTCTTGAGCATTGCACACTCTTTCTGGAAGGGTCACGCTAGAGATCCAAACATCACGGAGTCAGAGCAGGGGACTGCAGGGAAATGTGCTTTTTTTCTTTCTTGTTATGCTACAATGGGCCCCCAGCTAGCCCTGAGGACCAGGCAGACAAGCTTCTTGGAGTCTGTGCGGTGGTCTCCCTAGACAGCACTCTGCTTCCACATCCTTTCCCCCTTTTCTTTGCACCTCCTTTTTTTTTTTGCCTAAGCATACATGTTTATGTGTGTGCCTGTGTGGGGGAGTGTACGCATACATATGCATGTGCATGTGGAATGCCATCCTCAGGAATACTGTCTACCTCTTTTTAGACAGGGTCTCTCATTGGCCTGGAGATCACCAATTAGGCTAAACTGGGGCAGAGAGCCCCAGGGAGCCTCTTGTCTCTGCCTCCCCAGTGCTGGGCTTACAAACATGCACCATTATGGCCAGCAATTTTACATGGGCTCTGGGGATCCAACTCAGGAACTATGAAGGAAGTGTTTTGTTGAATTGGCCCTTGTACCTCCTTCTCTTAATTGGCTTTCCCCTCTCTAGGACAACACAAGTGTTTAGACTTCTGTTTTTCAACAAGAATCAGTCTTTCCTCTTTTCTTCTACTTGCCCCAAATATATTGATTAGACTTGAAGTTACACTTGTATGTCAATTCCCTCCCTCTTGGAAAGCACTGAAAGGGGCCAGAGGCCCTGGCTACCTAGTCCCACCCCACCTTATCTTGACCACCAGTTGGCCCTGCAAATGGGAAAGGAGAGGCAAGACAGGCAGAATCTCAGGGGCTAGACACTCCAAGCTTGGCAATGATATTTCAAAGAGGAGACTGAAGAGATTAAAGAGGGGGTGTGGGGGTGCCCTGACTTTTTCCCAGTGGGAGGTGATGATGGGATGTTATTACTGTCTGGCCCATCTTGGGCCTCTCTCAGCTGTGCCCAAACACAGAAAGATAAGGGACTGAGGGCAAAGGAGACACTACCCACCCTCCCATGGTACCTGAAATAGTCTCTAACAGGGAAGGGGCTGACTTGGCCTATGGGGGTAGAGTGGTAGAGGATGGCTTAGCCTGGATTCCTGGGGAGCTAAGAGTCAGGGAGGGGCTTGGAGCAGAGGCTATAAGGAGAATATCAGGACTGACTGAATAGGGGGCATTGACTGCAGGGGTCAGGCCTTGTTCTCTGAGTCTCAGGGAACCAGGAAAGCAGTGTTGTTGCAGAGGAGTAAGTCTCTCTAAGCCTCACTTTTCCTACCAGTGCTGTCTATTTACCGAGCGTGAGACAGAATTGGGCCATGTTCATTATTTTTAGTCCTCATGTAGATTTTAAAAAAGTAAGAGTTGTTGAACAAGCTTACGAAAAAGCATGTTATGTATTTCAAAGGTTTGCATTTAACAATTGCATTTTAAACACAAACCTCAATTGGAGATAATGGCGAACGTCTAAATGCAGTGACTGTCAGAAATGAGATTTCTGGAACAAACAGCCACACCATCCACCTGGCCCTGGCGGTGGTCCCTGTCATGAGCTGCTGGTGAGGACACAGTAAGCCTGGCATATCATTCGCCTCCTGTGGTTCTCAGGGTGTGGCCCACGTGATGTGCCTGTGGCCCTGGCTCTGCTGCTGATTTCAGCCAATGCTTTGCCTGGAATGTTCTCCACACTAGCACCCTTCTGGGTGGCTCTTAGTCATCATCTACCAGCTCTCAGATCAGCCTGCCTCTCTTCAGGAGGCTCCTGACCAAGCTGGTGCTTAGTCTTAATTATGTTGAGAATACATTGGGGTGGGGTGAACTTACTGCTTCCAGGAAGTTACTATTTGCAAAGGGGTCCCCAATGCCTGTGGCTGGGCCAGGTTCTCTGGGTGCTCTGCCAGGGATGAATGAAGGGGTCACCAGCACATCTCTGAGGTGGAGGGGCACCTTTGCAGGGCTAGGCTGCCACACATACCTCCCACTATTGATGTCTGGTGGTGGGTCCGGCAGGGAGAGGACAGCAAAGGGCACTTGGGTTACCATTGTCCGTAGCCTCCAGCAGCATGCAGCAGCTGGCCTTTGGGTCACCTTCTGTTCCCTTTGCTTGTGCTGCCCTTCTCTGCTCTCACCTTCAACTCTCCTCAAGCTTCAGACCAGCTTAAACATCATGTGCTCTGAGGTGACACCCCATTCCTCTGCTCTCCGGTCTGTCACTCAGCAGCACTGTCTAAAACGGCATTTCTGAGTCATGATGATCATGGCGATCCACTAACGCATCTGTCTCTGAGATGCTTCAGGACAGTAGGGAGCTTGTTTGTTCTCTGAATCTTCAGTGTGCAGTGGAGAGTGGGAATGGGGATAGGGTTCCTGGTATAACACAGAAGCCCCGCCAATGCCTGAGGTCAGCAGTGAGATGTGAGTGGGTATGCTTCTGACTGAGTGGTATAAATAGTGGGTGTGAGAAACAGGAGCTCACTAATACACACACACACACACACACACACACCCTACAAGCTCTGCCCTGAGTGGACCAGCAAAGGCCTCAGGCCAAGTACCCTTTTCCAGGCCCTCTGTCTCCCTGCCATTTACCTCCCAGTCAGTTCTCAAGCTAATGAGAGGAAGCATGAGGCCGGTTGAGCCGCTTCCGGAGGAACTCTTTGAAATGGAAATGTTATGACAAAATGATGGATTGTTTTCCTGGAGCTGTGTGGTTTGTTTCTTCCTTGTAGCTAAAGGAGAATAAAACAGATAAGAGTGGCAGAGGCTGCCTGTCCTATGTCACAGAACCCAAATCTGCACCTTGAGCAGGAAGCAGGAACTCAAGGGAAAGGTGAGGGGAGTAGAGGGATGCAGCTTGGCTGCTGTCCGGTAGTCATGCCTGAGGACTAGAGCTGTGGTAACTGTGGAGAGGGGCGGCACTAATACCAAGAGAGACATCCAGGCTCTCTGCCCTGGTCACACTCACCACCCGGCAGTTTGCCTCTGTGCCTTCTGCTGCTGTCCCCTTAGCATACTGTGTTCCTTCTCACCTTTGCCACCTGCCAACTGCTCCTCATCCTTCAAGCCACCTTAAATGTCACCACCTTTGAGAAGGGGCCTGTCACACCTAAACCCTCTCTCCCCAAATCACAGGAATAATTGATGGCTGAGTCTTCGCCCTGAATTGTCACTTATTTTATTTATTAAAGATATGTACTGAGTGCCTATTGTGTGAGACACACTGTTCTAGGCACCGTGTCCATCGGTGAGCACACAGAAATACCCTCCACCCTTGTGGAGCTTATGTTTTGTAGAAATATAGGCATTGGAGATAATAAATGCATCCATGAGGGGCTAGTATTATAAGCTCAATGGTTGAGCACTCGCCTAGAATGCACAAGGACCTGAGTTCAATTCCCAGCACTGACAACCAAACAAAACAACGCCCCCCCCCAAAAAAAAAACTAACTAAAAACATGTTGTCAGTGCCATGGCTTAGGGGAGCCTTTGACTAGGAATATTGAGCTTTAAAATTAGGCTGGAAGGGAAGGTTCAACAAGAGGCTAGGAAAGTGAGGTTAGCCACGCCCATAAAGGAGGAGACGTTACCAGCAGATAAATAATGGATACATTAGGTTTTGCTTACATTGCTTGGCTTTCTAATGAAAGATGAGTCATTTTTGTACTCTTTATAGCACTTAGTGTTGGCATAGAGTAATTGTTCTGTAGATGAATATTGAATGAATAAATAAACACACTATCATCCTCAACTTTCAAACCTGGTGAGAACCGCCCAGGAGTCAGAGCTAGTCCTGGAGTGCCCTCTAGTGGCCACATCTCAAATGCCAGCTTAGAGCACCTTGTTTATAGCCTGGGACATTTCTGTTCACCCCAAGTGACCTTGAGAACAGTAGCCAATCAGACAACAGACTTGACTGTCTCCCTCACAAAGCACAGAGGCAGCTTCTTCAGGAGACACATAACCATAGGAAAGGTGGTCCCTACCCTCCATACCGCCTTCTGAACGTCTCTGGTTAGCCATCGTTTTTGTTGCTCTTGTTCCCTAGAACTCTCCTTCTCTCTCTGATCTTTGTGGATTGTTGTAATACTGGGATTGTATGCTGAGCTAGAGCTAGCCAGGTAGGATGTGCCTACTGTGTGTGAATTTTGGATTCAGGGGCAACACTGGCCTTCCAGGTCAGCAGAGAAGCCTGCTCCTCCAGGTTATAGAAGCTAGCATCCCACCCCATAGACCTTGTGGGTTTTCTGGGCTGGTGC